GATCTGTAACTGTATTGATTTGTACAAAAAATTGGGCTAAATCATTTGTACGATTCGCTGGTCAAGGTTAGGTCATCCAAATCAGCCAAAAGGTAGGATGCTGGAAGGCGTCACAAACTATATGTTTAGTTTCTCATTATCTTCCTTCTTCATTATAGAGAAATGGATGCTATGGGATACGGTGGCTTGCAAAAATCGGTTTAAACTTCAAAGGCTAGCTTATACGTGTCAAACGAGTCGTAACAATTTAAAATCGGTGTGGTCTCGACCAAAAAGATCTGTGGTATAGGAGCTTACCGTTGACTGCATTTTATCAGTAGATGTGCGGTCGCACATCCCTTTATGGCGATGCCTATCTTGATGTCATATCTTACAACCTTGTTCTACATCATCTTCTCTTCCACTACCCTGGATAATGTCATACTTTCATCAGGACAAACGCATTCGAGAAGACTGCCCCATCTGCCCGTTGTTCTCGCCATAATACTGCGCGTTATTTGCGGAAGTTGAGGCCACTTAGTGAAATGTAAGCAAGCAAGATTTGCCGAAAAATGCTTAAAAATCGTTATGAGAAGCACGCGAAGATGACAACGTCGACAGAGAGGTTTTCGTCTTTGCTTGCGGCAAAGTCTTAGCTGATTATTGTAACGACGTTCCTTCTTTACAACACCAATTTATTTTCTCGAGAGCTTGTCGGTAATTTCGGGTCAGAAATACAAGCAATGAGGAGGAAAAATGTGTAGCGCTATCGACACATATCGCACGTTTTCACGCTATGTCGTACCTACTCCTTTAATGTTTTCGTGCTTGAACTATAGACTTGGCAAATTCATAAATTGTATGACTGTGGGACTTTTACTACTTGTTCTGCTTACAAGTGGAGATGGCGTACTAGTTCTAAAATCATAGAGGTGAACATAAAGAAAGACTAGATGAAAGTATAAACTGATTGTTTAAATGAAATACTGGAGGAATTTTATTACCTATGTTAACAAAACGAGCGTTTGGGGAAGCTCATTTATTTGTAAGTAGTATCAAACTAATTGCTTGGCTTGCTGTTAGGAATCGACCCGCTTCATATTTTATTTGTTATCCTGCACCATGCCTCATCGAAATATTGGCGGACACGTCATATCATTGTTCGTCTGCAAGTTTCGAGCAAAGGTGTTCGTATTCTCATGCCATACATTATCACGAGCTTCGTACACAAGCGTAATTTATCTGCTTGGAGTGACTGAGTCTAGTGTCAAGTATTCGTATTTACTCCAATGATCCCCACACATTGCGAAGCGTAAGTTTTTTCAAAGCGCTGAACTTAACACTCATTTGATCTTGCTAATCCAAGTCACAGTGAATCTATGATTAGCAACGATGAGCTTTACTCTAGAAATTTGGCGCCTGTCGACCGATGGATCGACAGGTCAAAAACGCTGGCCTGTCGTACAGTTCATCACTTTGAGTCGGCAAATATCTCTTACAAGTGCGGCACACACATTCGCGTCACGTCGTCACCCTACACTCGACCTTCTTACCGCAAGTACATGGCCACAGTCTTGTCACAATCCTCTCGAAAACCGATTCACCAATGCTTACACCCTTAATCTGATGCTGTCGGTCCATACCACTCACCTGGGAACTTGTCATCGTGCATTCTATCTGCACGATACGATGATCAAGCAGCAACACACAGCGTGCAAATCCTGATAGCTTCCATAATATCAACGCTCCCTTGTCGATCCATTAGAGCTGCGCATAACAAACGTGATGCAGCTCGATCTATTCTTCGAGGAAATGAAGCACGATCGGTAGATGATTGGAAGTCCTACTTACCATTCGGTGCAGCGCTTCCGTCCTTCGTCAAAAGCAAGGACGCGACCGCATCACAAGAGGGGCGTGTCAGGTATTGCGAGAGTTTGCAAGGCCTTGCAGCAGTTTGTGGAATCTAGCGAACGTCATGTTGATGGAGCGAGACAGAACGACATCAGTTATCGTCCATCCTCTCGTCTACGTTGGTATCGACGCAAAAGACACAGACACAATTGCTTTCCCGACTGCGAAGCCAGATGAGTTGCAAAGAAGCTGCTAGTAAGCTACACAGCTATATGCTGATGATATGGTTTGACGTCGCCACGACGGGTCAACTTCCACACAAACGGGATCTAGAACGCTCAGCCATACACCGAATGTGGAGTCTCGTGGTCGACATTGTGAGCGGCTTGCTGCACCTGCAAGCAGAACATACTGTTATCAAGTCTAATGAAACGGAATGTGAGGGAGCTCATGTCATGCGTCGAATCGCTTGGTTAGCTGCAGTGAAGCCTTCCACAGTCGTCGTTTGACGCGTGCTACGACCGCAGGGCACCAATCACTGTTGTAGCTATTGAGTGGTTGTAGCAGAATTGCATCGACTCGGAAGTGTTGATGCCAAATGATTCGACAAGTACTGGTAGTATTTATGGAGCAAAGTCGTAAGTCCTTTGTCGTGCCTGTGTGCCACGGGCGGGGCAGTTCATCGACAAAGAATGTCCGATACGATCCTGAGAAAGTGGAGTGGAGTGGCGAAGAGAAGCGAACCGGTGAACATAGCAATCATCAGCTATGGCAAGAACCTCATCGCTAAATGGCGCGACAGCCCGGTCACCTCCGGCCTTTTCTTATGCATGTCAGATGCTTTTGCAAGATCAGCTGAATGTTGGGTGCAATGTGTTGTGTAACGCGAGCTGAGCGATTCCACGAGAGATGGTGACTGAGCTGGCAAGGTCGTGCGATCAGTAAGTTTGCTGCCGATGGACTGCTTCGCCAACTGACCGCGGCGTTGTGTTTGTTGATTATGGATACGGTATGTGTGTGTTAGAATATACTTTTTCTGACAAGTCAAGAAGGTGTTGCAGGTCAAGTGCAAGACCTGGTACAGGTAAGTCCGATCTCACCTGATTGGTTTATAATGTGTCATAATGACAGATGGGACTGGAGAGACGGTCGTCATGTGACAGGACAACACATGGGACGAAGAGAGACGGACGTCATGTGACAGGAGGTCACAAGGGACGAGGAGAGACGGACAACATATGCAACTTGACATGGTCAAGTTGTAGTTTCTGTTTCTGGTCATACATATCGTAGTGTTGAAGAAGATAGTTTTTAACACACAATATATTTCACTTTTACTTCTACCCCTTTGCAACAAGTGCATCTCTACATTCTTACAGTGTGTGTGAACAAAGAGCAACTCGTGCCTTCACTTGCGTTTATACCACCAAGCAAAGCGTGCATTAGGCATAATAGACTGAGCGTAGGCCATTCAAATCCTGCCATGAGCTTCATTCTCGATCAGCTGTTGGTGGATAGGATATACAATTAGGATCGCCATCAATTGAGCATAAGATTGGTACCGACGAGTGATATTGACGCACGTGCACTGCTTTTTTTGAAACCGATCGTTTGTACGCGGAGCTGTGCAAGTGAAGGAGGCGCGACCGCGGTGAGTTCATCAGCTTCTTTTGATGTCCCTATGCCCAAATACCGAGATATAAGACAAGAACCACTGCTGTCGTGGAAGCGCAGACATTTTTGCACATTTGCCTGGTGCGTGTTCAATAGATTTCTTCAGTGTGTGTTGCAGTGTCTTCTGATAATGGAGTCACGGTGTGCAGGTAATTGCTGGACAACAACGTCAATGCTTCATTGCCGTATGTTTTTTTTGGTTGCGAAGGCGTCACTTGGTTTTCCGAGCGACTCGCTAAGCCCGTCCCAGAACCCGCCCTTATGTCACTGCCTCGCCTGCAGTCTTGCCCACTCCAGGGTTCGCCTCCCACAAAATGGTGCAAGAATCGACCATTGGCTACCGCGATGGTGTTGCTTTGCCAGTATGCGTATCAGCTGCATTGCAGTCCATCATACCTGGATTTAGTAATAACACGTACATGTTGATGCGTCGAAACTATCTGCTGAACCGCTATCGTAGCAAAAGGAACAGCTGCCTTGTTACCCAGCCCAGTCACGTGCCGCAATGCCAGTGGTCGAGTTGTACCCGTCACTCGTTTGCGCTTTCAGTGCAGCTGGGCCGTAGCCCTGAGTACGTTGCTTCCATCATCGGCAATTTGGCCTATGCCGGCGCAAAGGCGTCCAGCCATCGTCTTCGAGGCCGTCCATATTCAAGACCGCATCAATGATCATGGCCCCACACCCTGCAGTGGAATCGCACACCCCTGACAGATGCGAACAAAAAGTAGAAGTTGGAGGCCCTGCGTCATTGTAATGGAAAGCCCCAGTCACGTTTGGCCGTCAAAGCGCCTGTGTGGCCAGGTCTAACGTCTTTTCGCGTGCAACTGATGGTGATCTCGTGGTAGCACGACAGCACATCGTGCGATATGCTCGCACGAGTTTGTTTGTTGATCCGCCTTTGCACCAATTCCCCACGACACTGCCATCGAATCAACCGGCACCTTACCGCCACACAAGTCGTTCACCTCATTTATTTCCCGCGGTCAGGTCGACAGCACGTGATGCAGATCAGTGTCGCAGCACTGGCTGCATATCTGATGTGGGCATTTTGATTTCTAGTTGCAAACGTGACACGTTGTAAGTGCGCGTAATTCGATCGAACGGAGGACTTGAGCTCCCGAAGACGCAATACATGCGGTTGAGCGGGTGCGACTCGACGGAACACGTTCCATACTGTCTCCAGCAAGCGAGCGGACGTGTCTCTATCGAGTGTGTTTGTGCTGTATGTCCTAAACGGTCTTTTTCGAGCGTCGACTGGATAATTTGGCCCTATTTGTTTCACGACAGCGCCCAAAGGTGAAAAATAAAGCGCGAGAGGCCATGTCGGGTCAAAACCGCACCTACGTGACTTGCTTTAACTATTGCAATACGTCTGCCACCCACACGTGCTCCTAAGTTGTCCTTTGAAATGAAATTCAGAATTCGTTGGCAACAATCACGTCGGAAATTGGGTTTCGTGACATTCGCGCGAGTTGTAAACTTTAGCACTGAGTCTGATGGAGCTGCTCACTCGAAGTCTGCGTCGGGACATACTGTGCCTCACTCGCCGCAGCGTCCCGACGTTTGCTGTGCACGTTCGCGAGCTGCGCAACTACCCGATCAAAGTGCTCTGTCGGAACCACAAGTTTGTCCGCAAAGCTGCGGGAAGTTACTTTGAAGTGGAGCGCGAGTGGAATTTAGGACTTGTGCTCCAGCCGTCCGAGGTCAAATCTCTTCGGGACCACAATGCAGACCTGTCGACGGCTTTTGCCGCGTTTTACCAGCACGAACTCTTTTTGCACGACATGAACATTCCAGGTAGGAACATGTCAGTACGGTCGCTGACGAGTTGGGGCGACAAGGAGACTCATTATGCGGCGTGGGCCTTTCGTGTCAACAGTGTGGCGACATGGACTCATTGGGCGACCAGAGCCGACGCGAGTGCGCAAACTGCTGGCGAACCGAGCGGAGCTGAAGAAACTCGAACACTTTGCCAATCGTCCAAATGCACAACTGGTACTCTGACACTACGACCGCATCGAAGGGTTAACGTTCTGCTGACTCTGCCGTCACACTGCTGTCCGTCAGATTCCAATGCGTGTCGAAGTCGGCATCACCGGGTGGATCAAGGTCATTCTGGCTGCGTGTTTCAAGCAAGGTCAAGTCGATCACCGCAGGCGCGACGACAAACGAGAGATCAACCGTCAGCTCCGCGACTGGTAAGAACAAGCAGCAACAACTACAACGCAGTATAGGGGGACACTACACCTTTTGCGAAGTCAAAAAACATATTACGCATTGTTCAGCACTCGTTTCCCAGTCAAGTCGAAGGCAGTAGTAGCAGTCTGCTCCCCTCGCCATAGTTGCTAGGTTCATCATCGTATCATTGGCAATTCATTCCGCTTTCCTCAAAGTCGGCTCGCTTCGTCCGTTAACAGCAGCCTCCAGACTTTTTCTTGCCACCTCCGTACGGGTCCACGATCTCCGGGAGTGCATTGCTCTCTGTAGACGCCGTTGGCAAAGCCTGGCTGATCTGGATAAACAAGTCCGACACGTTCGTGTCCTCCTTGGCACTCGTCTCGATAAACAGCGCACCAATCTCTTCTGCGTACGCGCGAGCTTGAGACGCCGGTACCTCGCGTTTCTCCTCCAAATCGCTCTTGTTGCCGGCGATCGCAATCACGATATTGTCCGGACCCAACTGCTTCAGCTCTTTCACCCAGTTCTTCAGTGTCGTCAGCGATTGCTACAGTCCAACAGGGCGGCAACATCGTTAGACGTTCCCAACTTGTTCCAACCCCAACAGCTGCCAACCAACGAGAACATCGGTTACTACCTTTCTAGTGATATCGTACACAACAATAGCAGCCGCAGCTCCTCGGTAGTACATGGGCGCCAGGCTATGGTACTATTGCAATCACGACACGTCAAGAACAAGACAAAGCAGCGCAAGCCCCGGCAGCAGACACAGAAGCAACAGCAATAGCAGAAGAAGCAGACGGAAGAGGACAAAAGAGCAGCAGCGGTAGATCGTCAGCACGCAACCCCATAGGACTTCCTGTATGTAGCCACTTCACCCGCACGCCGCGCTCCCGTCTTTCGCCTCACCTTTTCCTGCCCCGCCGTATCCCAAATCTGGTACTTGATCGGCGCGTCGTTCACGACAATCATTTTGGACATGAACGAGGCGCCAATGGTCGACTCGGAGTACGGGCGGAAGTTGTTCGTCACGAAGCGCAGCACGAGCGACGACTTGCCCACGCCCGTGTCGCCCAGGAGCACCACTTTGACCTCCCGCGCTTTGCCGTTGCCTGCGTCGGCCATACTTTGGTCCGTGTTTCGCACACAGACACAGACACACTCTCTCTCTCTCTCAGCTCTCTCTCAGTCTCTCTCTCTCTCTCTCTCTGTGACGTTCTTCCGAGTGTTCTTTTCGTCGTTACTGTCTTTTTCTCTCTCTCTCTCGTGCTCGTTGTCACACGAGTCTGAGTTTCGACCAATCATCGGACGGACGTTTGCAGCGGCGCTCGTGATTCGACAGAAATGGATGAGGACGCTATCCACTGATACGGCGACCGGACGCGGCTCTACGCTATCGACAGTCGTGTCGACACGACGCCCACGCACTTTGTGTAATTGTATGTGACAGAGTCGGAGCTACGACAGTCGGTCCGCGTGTGCGGGACGTATTACTGTTAGGTCGCATCTGTATGTCCATCGTGACGACAAGTCGATTGTCGCATTGTTGCGGTGGTCGAACAAGCAGAATAGGGCCATAGCGCTTCGCTCACTGCACATGTTGACACATGTTCCGTGTGCTTTACTCTATTTCGAATAGCCAAAAGGGGCAACGGAAGTGGAACGAGGCGCAATTTGGTACATGGATACAGATCAGAGAGGACCAAACCGTCTGAGTCTCTGTCGATCGATCTGAGTTGCAAGGACGGCCAAAACTCAGCGCGTCTGTAAAAAGAGTAATTACACTTGCACGAAACGACTGGCCACGGCCCAACACGGTTGTTTGTTAACCCGTTGATCTCGTCATTGTGTATAAGTGACAACAGGAGTGCGTGAATGACGCTCGCGTGTGTGTCATCGTCTTCATAGTGATCCCAATGATTGAAAGAACTCTAGAATTACACTGCTTCGAGTGATGACACGTATCCAGATGAGGGATTTACATCCTTGGCATGTCATGTAGGAAGATGAGTTTTCGTGTGTGAGCATGATGAAAGCCTAGCTGTTTTCTTAGGAAGTGCCGTCTGATTATGTTGAACATTTTGACGACAACAAGCTGCGAGCTCTTCTTAGAGGGGCTCCTGAGACTCCACGCGAAAACTTGTAGATGTGATACGGTACACGTGTAGATAGTTGCTTTTACATTGCATGAACAGAGAGAGCGCTTTCGATGCATATGGCCGTTCTTCTGTTCTTCTGCACAAAACCCGACTATGATTATGCCTCCGACGCCCTTAAGTTCACTTGTCGTGCCTCCATCAAAGTCTGCAGCCTTGCTGAGGACTTTAGTGTCAGAGCATCCCGTAAAGGCTGTGAGGCTGAGAGTCGCAGAAAACCTGCTTACTTACAGTCTCGAGGTAGTGTCAGACGTGGCGGCGCCGACAAAGATGGGAATCGAAGGCAATGATAATGCGAAGTAGCACATCGCCACTGGCAAAGCAGACGTTCCAATGTTGTGCGTGCCCGTCACACAGTGCGGTGACTTCTGAGCAGCCACTATTTGGTTTCGACAAAAGTCCCGAAATCGTGTCTTCTTGATAAAACTTGTTTACGACTGCTTGCGTCTGTCTTCTAGTCGGTGCGCTTCCAAGCTCTGAGAACAACAACGGCAAATGAACAACACGTCTTTAGACACGACAGAATAACAGCACTTATGTACAACATTGACAATCGCCTATTGCAGGATGAAAAGCACCATGTGTGCCTGACGCGTCCTACTGCTTATTCGGGTATTCACTTCTCCTAGCAGCGCTTGGGCGACTGCATTTCTCTCTTCCATCAGTACGCTATCTCAATTCCACGCGCCGTCCTCATCACTTCTTGCATTCAGCATATTCGCCGTTTGCACTATCGAAGCGTGTATCGACTCGAATACATGCTCGTCCACCACATTGCTGCTTCCGTGGTCCAGGGTGGTTTCGCTATATCTGGATTGACGTCTCCAGTGGACTGCTTCCCTGCTATCGACGGAGGAGGAAGGGCCATTTTTGCGAGCTCAGCAGTTGTTACGGGAATTGGTGCTTGCATAACTCGAAGGAAAGGATATCACCCGCTACAAGTTCCAGACGAACCACCACCGAAAAGAGGCCTATGAAACGGTAGGTAGCGATCATGCAGATAAATGACTGCCCTATCACATTGTGCTCGACGCGAACGATCGATTCTGTCGACAACTAACACATCACGTGCGCGGACAAATAGAGGTGTCCGGTTGTCGATACGAATGAACGCAGTCATCATTCGTCGTCCCTGACGTTACAAACGCATGCAATTAAACTAGCCCAAGCAAAACTTGTCGGGTCTCTGACTTCCACATTGTTGCATCGGGCAGACGTTCGATGAGGGTGCGATATCATGAGTGCACTTCGTTTGCCAAAAGCTGTCGACTAAATCGTTTGGTCGATAGTAGTTTCCAATATTGCTCTGCTCACTGCGGGTATGTGAGCGTGTGCTACGAGTGAAAGAAGAAGATAGTGGATATTGCTGAAGAAGTCACTGTTGTCCGTCACGCGTTTCAGACTTCATTTGCAACCAACCATAACTGAATTGGACATGTACCACGTTGGTGATACGACTGTTTTCTCGTACATCAATGCAAGCGCTGTCCACGAAAAGCAGAGCAATTGACTCATGTATTGTTTGCAGTCGAACCCGATCCAAATGAAGGTGCGTGACAGATCTCTATGAGGCAGCGACAATGTTAGCTTCGTCGTAATCCAGAAACTACTCCCGTCAAGAGCAGGATCCTTATGCTCTTTGCCGAATGGGGAAAATCCATAGACCGAGTACAACGAGACGGCCACTCCTGTACTCTATGACACAACTGATGTCAAGTGATCCTCGGCTGCGAATGACAGCATGAACGATCCACGCTAAGATGATACTGTCTTGCCTACCTCTTCATTCTGAGAATCCCCTCTACTGATTTGTCTTGGTGCGAGTTAGTAGAGATAGCTCCTTCGGTTCTAGACCGAACACAGCTTTCACATCCAGCTATATGCGTCACGATCAGTATGTACTATCGAACGCTGCGGTAATCTTGTTTCCATGGAGCTCTTATCAACAACGAAGCAAGCAAGAAGCAGCATGTGTGAACGCGTCTTTGTCCTCGATTCAACTCATTTGATGTTCTCACATATTGTATATCGCCATGCGTTCGTGTTGTGATCACGCAACGAAAGACGGATCAAGTCGTTATTTATCCATGGGAGCAAAGATGGTCGGTCAGTTTTTCTTCATCCAGTTTATGCTGTGCGGATTGATTGGCATGGGATCACCACAATCACGAATCTCATTGATACGGTGATAAGTGCGACGGCACGTTTGTGAGGGTTGATGGGTGGGTGACGATGTCCATTGCATGTTTACTGCAGCAGCATGCTAGAAAGCAAACCTTTCTGTACGATGACGTGGTAGAATGAGCACTTACTACGGAAAATACATTCGGCGATGAATGGAAATGCAACGTCGTGTCGACGCCTACCAAAGTTTACACTCACACAATCACGATTAGGTAGGCTAGAGTCGCGTCAGCTGCTTACGTGGAGCGGACTTTGCACATGTAGCTCCATTACGAGATACACGTACAACGTAGTATGTGTCTCTGATCGTGTATGTGGAACATTACGTGTTGACTTTGATGACTGGGCATCTTGTACAGCACAACGCGAGAGTACATCTGTGTGAATTGTCAGGATGGATTGTCACGGAAGGACAAGTCATGATGGCATGCGGTGTTTGACACGCATTTGTCATGTACTTTGCGTACAAGTTAGCTAGCTCACTCTTTGTTTAACTTTGGGCTCGCAATGAACATCAGTGGACTTGGAAACGTCGTTCTCAGTCTACTGGGAGTGTATATTCGTGTTTGCGTAGGTAGACAGGAGCATGCACTTGTGCAGCCTTTTTCCGTTTGTCGTGTGTGAAAAAGATCGAGCGAGTAGATATGTACTGCACGTGGACAATCGTCAAGGACTGATAGGTCAACGCCATTATAAACCGATGCATTCGGTGTCGATTGTAACATCCACGAGTGTCTTTTCTTTCCAGGAAGACGAAAAAGAAGCTGTGCTTCCGCGTCTACGATGCCTACTTTTTGCCATCTCCTTTTCCAACCACGTACTCCTCGATGCGTTTCACCAGCCACGACACATTGCGCGGCGCGTTCTTCGCTTGTTCCTCCATTTGCTCGGTAAGTCTCCGACATGAATCGACATACCGGTCGCCAAACCCATCCAGTCGGCGCTCCCAGAACTTATATACAGCATTGACAGAGTACTTGGCCTTCTCCACAGCTCGATCTCTGATCTCTGTCATCGTGATCGACGTTGGCACGACTGCCGGTCCGCGTGGCGTCTTCAAACTGGGCACCACATCGCTTTCCACGAGCGCATGGCCTTCGTCCGTTGCTTCACTGTCCTCAAAGCCAAACAAGTCATCGTCGTCGTCTTCGACCACATCCTCATCATCCTCGTCAGCATCAATTCCGTCCTGCAGATCGCCTCGATTGCCCGTATTTCGTTGCAGCTCGCGCTTCATGCGTTTGCGCTCCTCGATTCGCGTCATGAGCTCGTCATTGTCCATGTGAATAGCAATGACTCCAATGCCTTTCACATAGGGCAAGTGTTTGCCCTCTTCCATCCACTCGGGCGAATACAATGAAAGGCCTACGCCCATGAACGTAAAATTGTCCCTCCGAGGCGGCGCTGGCAGAACGTCCACAGCAAAAGTCGACACAGCATTAGCACTTCGTTACGGCCGTGCAAAGAACGGTCCGCACCCGTACGCACCGGCCCGTTCTCGCATCTCCCGCAGACGCTCTCGACTCGTGGAGAGCTCCATGTGAATGCCCTTACACGCGGGTCTCTGCCGCGCAGTCCACATGGCTCTGCATTATGTATAAAACGGTTCCGACACCACGTTGGTCGATGTTTTTTTCGTGCCATTCTCAGGGCACACGTAGCCGCAACGAGTGCAGAAAAACACGTACTTGGTGTACACACTGATGCCGATGCACAGGTCGCATTGCGCGCGGTCTGTCGGGCCGGTGGACGACGCAGTGCCTCCGTCTCCGCGACGCTCGGGCGGGACGGGCGGCATCGTTTGTTTTTCCGAAGACGTGTAGTAGTCACTAGTGCACGAAAAGAAGGACTGGATTTCTATCTCGCTTATCCTGTCTATATAGAAATGAGTGAATTGCATTGTTGTAGACAAAGCGCGTTTCTTTCAGACAAGTTTTCGCCGAATAGATCTGTCGCGGAAAAAGCAAAGCCGCACGCTTTTTTTTCGCAGTAAAACCAGACAACTTTTTGGGGGAAGGTCGGAGCTTGTTGTTCCAGAATAAGAACTTGTCAGGAGCTATTGAGGCATCTCGGCGCTTGCGCCGACACGCTATAGATTAACTACATAACGCGACGTGCAGACAATTCGCAAGCATTGAGTCAGCGTGAAAGGGTTTACATGCTGTCACGTGTAGTACGCAGACATAACGAAAGGGTGTTGGATTTCACGAAGGTGCACAAAATCTTTCCAATACTGGTTGGCCGACTAGAATGTTCGAGCGGGTCTGCTTACCATACTGGAAGTGCAATCAGAGATGTAAGCACTATAAGACGGTAAAGCATGATGAATTTATACGCAGTAGCATACATCAGATTCCATGCCGCTGCACGGCAGAATAATATACGACAGCGTCGAAGTTTTAGTCCAGTAGACTCGACTGTAAATGGCAGAGACGGCCAAGACGATGTGCAACACACATGCATTACGCAAAATTAGCCTATCGAGAGATTTTGTTAGTTGGACGGCTTGTAATGAAGAAGGAGAAGAATGAAGAGCACGTATGTGATCGAATTCAGATTGAGGCCACTACTTAAATGGCTCGTGGCTATTTTCGATCGGTAACTATGGAGATCATGAAATTCTTGACACATGGCGTCGCAAGACGGACTCTTCATTGCGTATCGCGATTGTTTCGAATGAACCTATAGTCGGTAAATACGAGAGCAATGAGAGGACCTGTGCTGCTCTTCTGGTAAAGGCGATGCTTGCTTTCTACCTCACGAATTGTTTATGGTAAACATTGTAAACAAAAGCTACGACTGACTATCATTACAGCTCGACACGTAAATGAACGTTCGCAGCATCCTGCTTTTGATCATTGTGTGTGATAAGACGAGCTTCGAGCGAGCTACAGACCGGTCTCGAGAGGTGACGGATCTTCTTGACGTGTAGCGCACGACTCGATCGCGAGTTTTGTGGCAAGTGTCCAGAGACGTATACCTTTTTAACGTGGTATAACGAAAGTTGTGGATTCAAATACGACAGAGGCATTACGGCAGCTGTCGACTGGGCCGGGACGAAACTTTTGCGATGGCGTCTACAGCTTATCTAACGCCCCACGTTGTGTAGCCAAAGAGCGATGGCTTCTGTAGCTCATTCGACGATGCATATGTGTAGACCAGCGATGTTGGCATTGCGAACTTGTTTGTCGGAAATAAATTGGTCAACAGTTGACAGCGTGAAACTGTACAAAACTGACGTTGCTCCAAGAGTACAATCACCCCGGTCTGCTAAATAGCAGAGCACGAATGGCCCAGGTCTGCTAAAACGCAGAGCTTGTTCTCAAGATGATAAGGATGCTGGCCGAGACAGCAGTATGAGCAGTTCGAGTTACCCATTCCGGGCTTGCCAATCTGATTGCTGTCACGTCAGTAGTCGTTATGGCCCACATGGACCATGCAAATGAAACAGAGACCGTACCGCGCAGTTCTCATGTGTCTTGCTGTGTCGATGAGGTCGTGCGAGCTTTATCGCGCTTTGGAAGGTTTTGGGATTTCCTCTGACGTATCAACCACTCTACCGGTCGCGAAGCTTTGGACGCGAGGTAATGCATGTGAACGCTGGCAATCGGCTCAAGCCATCCCGTGCTCGGATCGAGTCACGTGTCCCGAAAGTCTTGAACATCCGCTCGCTGCATGCTACTACCACAGCTGCACTATGGAAATGGCAGGTGTCACCGGGCCCAGCGGCAAGTCACACGCTCTGACAGTTTACATCGATAGAGTCTCCGAGCTGGAACTGAAGCTCTGGCGTGTACGCAACAGGACAAAAGCTCGTCTGTCAGTATCGCGATCAAACCTCTCTCCCTCAAGGCCTCGATAAACACATGACTCCAGCCTAGCAGGTTTACCTCAGCTCGGACGAGATCGGGTTGGCGGATTGCCCTGTTGCCCTGTCCGTGTTGACTCGCTAGTAAGGCGATCGAGACTGTACTGTCAATGTTGCTTTGAGCAAGACGTTTTGCCGGCATGACGTTCGAGCACAGCCACGCACACGACTAAGCTGCTATACACGCAACATCTCGGTGGTGGTATACTTTGCTCCGTCCCGTGCTTTGCCGTTTCAGCCGCCGGTGCAATCGATCCAGCAGAACGCTTGGTAGAGGTTTGTTGAGAGAAGAAGTTGAGCGATGCAGCCATCACAATGCTTCGATGCTAATCAGCCACACGATCACCATGAACGCTAGAATACGCTATTCTACACGATGCCGTCACACAGTAGCGTCGCGATCGCGTTAGTAGACCATGCGACAGGGCACAAAGGGATGTCGTCGGGGGTACGCATGCCACGTGGCATCAGCTCACAAAGACTCTTCGTAGCTCTGCGTTTTACTTTCGACTACCGCACGCCGAGTGGCTCAGGTACTTGGACCTTCCAACACCCATACAATAAGAATGCACCTACGCTACGTTCACGTCAAGGTGCCTGCGGCGGAAACTTCGAGCGGATCCAGTCGGACGTTGTTGGCTCTTCTTGCCACAGAGCATGAGTGCGAAGCTGGCGACTTTGACGAGATGATGGTGTATCTTCACGGGTTCCCCGACATGGGCGTTCATCCGACTATGGTGGACTTTGCTTCTCGCGTGCCTGCCAAACTGTCGGTCTTTTGGCTGAAGCAGGAACAGGAGACAAGCAAGGTGGCATTTCTGACATTTAACTTTGGTGGCATTCCTGGATCCGACAACGAGCTACGCTTCACGAACAAAACCATTTCGCACGAAGTGGAAGACGTCGTGGCGGTGTGCAAGCACACACGCTCTTCTTTTCTTCGACAAGAGGGTAAAGTGCATATCGTCGGACTTTCCACGGGAGCCATTGTGGGCGCCTTGTTGCGTGAGCAGCAGGTAGCTGACACGATCACGGTGATCGCCGGATTGCTCGACTTGACGAAAGGCGTCCACTACGACTTCGACACTGTGCAATTAGAGCAGATTGCGACGCAAGGTTGGTGCTGGAAAGAGTTCTATCTACCACATGGCTGTCCGTTACCAAAGCATGCCGAGCTTTCGGTGGATGGCATCCACCCTGCGGCCGAGCTACCTGATACGACTACGTGCTCGAAACTCTACGTGCGTCTGGATCGACAATATGTTAGCGAGTACTCCGATGGCTCGCTGGATATCGCTCATGCCGTGTCAAGACCGGGGTCGCCACCACTGCTTGTCATTCATGGCGACGCCGACCAAGACGTGCCATTCCCGAATGGTATGGAGCTATTCGCCGCCGCTGCAGAGCCGAAGACGTTTCTGGCGATACCGAAAGCAAACCACTTGTTGTCAGATACGAAACACCTGAAGAAGGCACTGCGGGCAATCGGAGAGCACGTCCAAGCTGTGCATTTGCAAGGTAGCCGGACGTAGCCCAGACGTTGCTCAATACGGTAACGGCTGGGCGCAAACGTACCCGACGAGGTCCATCGGATGATAGTCTCGGAGGATAGCCCATACACTGCTGTTGCTACTCGCCACCTCTGCGCTCAGAGCTCAAGTCGATGAGCTGGCGCTGTACCGTACCGCTCATTCGCAATCTCTGCGTTGTCTCAACTTACCCTCTACGTAAAATTCGTGACCGGCACGTTGCATCGTGCAGCGCACAAAACAAGCACAAAGTCTTTGCCATGCGGAACAACGATCGATCTCCACAAGACAGACGCTATTCCTCATCTTTGCTAACCGCTTCAAGTCTCGACTCGCTTTCAAAATCGGTTTTTGTATTTTTGACAGTCAACTGAATGCACGTTCATTGCACAATGCGTCCGTCTACTTACTTCTCCGGAACGACCCACAGCCTCAGCCCCATTATGTCGCACCCCGCAAAACACATTTGCAGAGCTTGACGTGCACAACAGCCGTCATCGATTGCGTCACAGAGGCGGCATTGTTTGCAGCAGTCCATGATATCGAAGCGTCAATCGAAAAGAAGAGTCTGCCGGAATCGTTGCTCTCCAGATGGATAGGATCGACGGACATTCGTATCCCATGTGTCAACATGGGATGCTTCCGCATCTGATCGACTGTGCACCGTCCGCCGCCCTCTGCTCTGCTCTGTATCCGAGAGAGAGAGAGATGCGTCAAGTAGGGACATGTGTGCCACTGAATGCAATGTCGCAGTGAGCAATCAACGCAAAAGACCCCAAGCAGCCCAGCTGGATCCTGAGCGATTGGCGATGTCGTCGATGGCGGCACACGAGACAGGACCGCCATCGGCTCTCTTCCATTCGCTGTCCGCGTCCTCGGAAGGCTACAGACTGCATACAGCATATCCATATCGTGCCTCAATGCCTATGGACAGCCAGCCATTGTCCGCACGAAAAGGGCTTAATGCCGATATGATTTGGTCAATAGAGTCCCGTGAGACCGTTGACGGCACATGGGACTTGCAACAGGCCGTGCACTGAGTCCGTCGGCGGGTCTCAGATCAGGCTGCCGTCTCAGACGAGGTCATAACGCCCGCGTTTTTCGCATATCAAGCCGGACTTAGAAACCCTCTTAAACTGGATCCCCACCGCTTCGTCCGCATCGATAACCTCGAGTCGCAGCGTCACCGGTCGAAGCGACCATCACTCTGCCGTGGCCGCTCCACGCTGACGTCGCCCCAGCAGTCAGTCACTTTCGAATCTGCGCTCCAGCGCGCACTCTCGTCTCGCGTACCCTCCCGCGTACCCCGTCCGTACCCCTTCCGTACCCCTCCAGCCATCTCCATCGCGCTTCACGTTTGCCACCGCCACAATGCCGCACAAAGTCTGTCTCGTCGGGTCGGGCAACTGGGGCTCAGCCATCGCGCGGATCATTGGCGAGAACACGGCGAAGCTGCCTGCGACGTTCGAGCGCGACATCAACATGTGGGTCTTTGAGGAGCACGTGGACGGCCGCAAGCTCACGGAGATCATCAACTGCGAGCACGAGAACGTCAAGTACTTGCCGGGCTACAAGCTCCCGCGCAACGTCATTGCCGTGCCCGACCTGCTCGAGGCCGTGCGGGACGCGGACATTCTGGTCTTTTGCGTGCCGCACCAGTTCCTCGGCCGCATGCTCGTGTCGATGAAGGCGCAGGGCCTCAAGCGCGGCGCACTGGCCGTGTCGCTGATCAAGGGCATCGACTTTGACGACAAGGGCGTCGTGCTCGTGTCCGACCTCATCCGCAAGGGCCTCGACATTGACTGCAGCGTGTTGATGGGCGCCAACGTGGCGAACGAAGTGGCGGCCGGCGACTTTTGCGAGTCGACGTTGGGGTGTGCGGACCTGCGACACGGCGCGCTGCTGCGCGAGCTGTTCAACGCACCCATGTTCCGCGTGGACGTGGCGCTCGACCCGCACGGCGTGGAGATGTGCGGCGCTCTGAAGAACGTGGTCGCGCTCGGCGCGGGCTTTTGTGACGGGCTCAAGTACGGCGGCAACACGAAAGCGGCGATCATTCGCATTGGACTGAACGAGATGAAGCGGTTTTGCTTCAAGTTCTTTGACGGTGTGAAGGAAGACACGTTCTTTGAGAGCTGCGGCATTGCCGATCTCATTACCACGTGCTTTGGGGGCCGCAATCGCAAATGTGCCGAAGCGTTCGTGACGGAGAAGAAGACGTGGGAGGAGCTCGAGATGACGATTTTGAATGGACAGATGCTGCAGGGGACGCTCACTGCGAAGGAGGTGTACGGTATCCTGAAACAGCACAGCGCTGTGGACCAGTTCCCGCTCTTTGCGGCCATCTATCGCATTGCGTTTGAAGGCGCGGACCCGGCAACGATCACGCAGTTTTAGTGCCTATGCAGACGAACAGTATGATCCTACCAAATATTCCGCATGTTCTCGACTCGTGTCGTGAGGGACGTTGCCATATTGCTGTCCACGGTGCACGTACTAACGGTGACGCCAGGCGTGACGCCATTGACTTGGACTTCATGAACTTGAGCAGGATCGGCAACGGCGTGCCCTGAACCAAAGACGCACGTGGCGGCTGCGTGGTCAATGGCACACGATTTTCACAGCGTCTGAGATGCAATTCGTGGCCAGTCAGGTAGCCACCGACCGTGAATGACGACTTTCATGACCCAACAAGCTTTCCATCTTCGACTGCTTGGCATACTCAGCCAGTGGACGTGTCGTCAGTATGCGCAGGTCGTCTATGATGGTGGACAATGGGTCCACATAGTTTGAGCTGGAGGGACAAACCCAACAGTCTCATAGTCGCTTGCAGCCAACGTGTGGTGGCAATTCGCCCCCTGCACTTGGCTTTCTGATCAGCTGTGTTAACATGGTGACGTTTCAAATGTTTTTTGTTGTTACCATTTTGTCAACATCGTCGACAATTGGACCAAACCGCTGAGCTAAAACAAGTAATAAACTCCCTGTGTCCAAATAAATGTATCTCGAGAAAATTCAATCGGATGTCTTATCAAGATAGGCTTTTTTTTAGAAGTACACTCGGCATTTATGTATTGTAGACACCTCTAACTCGATCGACCTTAATTTCACATAGAATATATCGAGTGCACCTATTCACCGCAAAATGAACAACGACATAGATGACCGAAAAGTAAAAGATAAAGCAGCGATGCATACTATACGTGCGAGCACACATTGTGTTCCTGTAAACGACATGAAAGCTTACTATTTTTGGTTTAGTCATGTTTTTGTAAAGAACAAAGTAGCTCGTTGAGCTAATGGCCTCCATCTTGCGAAGGAAGTGTTATGGCTCCGCAACAGGATCGTTACCCTCGTCTTATTCGTGTTTAGTGTAATAGAAGTAAACGTGTACATGTAGTTGTAAATTTCATCTAATGCAGTTGAAACGTCCATCATCTACGACCCGTCGTGCAATCCGATAAGGTGTGTTGCTCCTTTCCACTGTCTCGTCTTTTAATATGGTCAGTAGCGCCCCCACAATATCACCAGTTGCACTCTCTCCACTAAGGTATCTGCTGTCTACATTGACGCTACTAAAGACTCGGCTTGCTTTTTAAAGTTACCACCAGCGTTGAGTATTGTGACGCTAGTTTAGTTGAGCAAGGGTGTGTGATGTAGGGCGAACATACACTTTCATTGCCGAACAAGTTCACCTAGGCGTCTGATAGTGACTTGATGGTGATGCTACCAATACATAAAACCCTATTGGACCCCACGGGAAGGACCGAGCGCTAGCCGCGCGATTTGGCGGACATGTGTGTAAAAGCTCTCTCATGGAGTGAGCCGGATGTGAATGTTCCCTGTATTTTGATGTAACAACCTATAAGTTAATTGCACGATTCGAAATGACCACAAATTGTAGCAATTGATTAGCTGCTACACAGATGCCAGATATATAATGGACTCGGGCGCACCTGAGAGATGCAAGCTTGATCGGAGTCAAGCCACTGAGTGCTAAGCGGGTATTGTCAAACAAGAAGGTGAAGATTTCGGTCCTTATGTCTTTTGAGGTTGCGAACGTACGCGGTGTGTGCCAGTACATCGATGCATTCGGTATTTACGGTTTGAGGATGCAATATGATACCCTTCCGACACAGTACAAGCTACTTACACTGACCACAGTGTAGACACATACCTCGAAATCTTACGTACGTTGTATATGCAGAGGAAGGCAAAGATACTAAACGAACACGCTTGGCAGAAGGGGATATGAATGTGTGTACAATGTGTAGTTGGAGTCTGTGAAACAAATCGTTATTGTCTTACATGAACTGAATGATCTACAAGTTCCTCGCATTTCTAACAACTCACCACCCATTGCGCGCGTCTAGCAGCGGTTGGCGGTTTGAGTGGTTGACCCAATGGCCGACGTCAGCCAGTGTGGAGCGGTTTTAGTTTAAACCCTACACAAATTACAACACAGAAGGCAAATTGATGCGACGCTCCTAAACAAATGTTAGCAAGGGTTTAGTGCAGCACCAAATGATAGGCTGAACTAACTCTGCTAACGCGATTGCTGAGTCGGAGCACGTGCAACCAAAGTCGTACTTCAGATAACACGGCGAAGCATTTCTATCGTTCCATAGGAAGTCCAACAGAATGCCAGGCCTGAAAGTCAGGGGTTCCAAGATGTTCGCCTGCACAGCGTCGCACCGCAAAACCTATAAAAGGCTCCCCACACGAAGCAAGTGTCGGCTCGATCGATCGACGTGATGCTTGAGGTCACATGCTACCGTTGTTAAGGACACCATTCCCTTAGAAGCATAGTAGTATCCTGGCTGCAGATCGACCAAGCCAATCTAGAATGCCATGCGATACACACAGTAACATTGCACACAATTAGACCCTTGACGACAACGCGTAACATCTCCGATAGCTTACGAAAGAATGAATGGTCGTAGCACAACATGCTCATCTTGGCTGTGTGAACTACCCAAAAGTGCTCTGCAGTGGTAACTTGCACGTCAATCGAAGTGAATACCGCAAGTGCTCTATTCTATGAACCCTCAGGTGAAGCCATTTCGTTTGTTTGCTTGTCTTTGACGACGCCAATAAACAGGCGACACACATTGCAAGTTACCGATACGCGTTGCTTTTAACAATCGATCATCTAGGTGGAACGCGGTGCTTTCAACCCCCTTCAATCTATGTGTAACGCTGCATTTCCGCTTTGCCGAATGTTATACATGTCGGATCTTCCTTTGCGGCCAGTTCCTGGCTTATCCTGATCTTTGAGTCGTTAACAAGCCACAAACTTTGCGATGCTCAACACTATCGAGTCGTACCGATTTGCTGCTGCAAATATCACTGGAGCTAGACGCAAGTGTGCAAACGATCTGAATACATCTCGATAGAGACGCGCGCAAAGTAGGAAGGTCCAGACATGTTGTGAGGAACGCTGTCAAAGTAGCTTTATCTGTTGAAGTTGGCATAGTTAGCCACAAGTCGTATCGTATCGACTCGGTCAATGCTTGATACAAACCTCGCAATGCTTCTGATCACGTCCCAGCTCCCGACAAAGCGACGGATGCAGACTACATGTGATGCCTTCCAAGCTAAAGGTCAGTCACTTTCCAAGCTGAAGTGATAGTTTTTCGTTTCTTTCGCACTCTTTTTGAAACTGGTAGATCGCGTTTGCGTACATCCGCTCTTGTTCGAGCAGCAACTGATACTTGCTGTCTAACGTGTCCACGTTGGATTGAAAGTCATCTCGTGCGGTATGCTGCTTCAGTACTAACCCCTGAACGTTTTCAATGATGTTTTCGACCTGCAGGAAAAATGCTTGAGTTGCGGTCTTCGAACCCATCGCGACTTCGAAATTCTCGTTGATACTATTGAAGAGCGAAATCTCCTTCTCCAAAACGTCATGTTTGGTCTTGAGCATATTGAACACGCAGTAATACTTGCGCGTCTCATCAAGCGTCAAAGCCACCTCGTCGTAAAGCTCCTCGAATCGCTTTTCGTACTGCACCAGCTCAAAGCGGGAAGGGATCTCATCTATTTGCCTCAACTTGCAATGCACAGCGCGGGTTTGTTTGCTTGCTGCATACTTCAAACACCTATGCTGTTGCGCCATTTGAGCGTGCATTTGCTCGATCTGGTCAAGACGCAGTGCTCGACCCTCCTGCTTGTTTTCGTCTTTTGACACCTGTAGCCTTAATTTCTCAATCCGTTCCTGTAACGCTTCCATCGCAAGACAACATTTCGCTCGAAAGTCCATCTTTTCCTTTTTGGACTCCTCACTCATCTCCACTAGTTGCTGTAGCTTTGCCAGACACGCCACAGTAGTTGCGTCCGTAGGCCATTGCGCTTCCACTGCCTCCATATCCGATTCGAGAGCAAAGAACGCCTCATCTAGCACAGCTGCTTGTGCATTGCTCTCCTCTAGCTTTCGACGCAACTCTTTCTTTTCCTCAATCAATTGATGCACTTGTTGCTCGTGCTTCTTCAGCTTCTCTCCAGCCAAGTAAAGAAGAGAGCGCTCTCTCAATCCCACTCGACCCTGTTGATCGTTTTTCTGCTCGTCGTTCCGCGCAGACACAACTCGTTCCATCAACTTTGCCTCACGCTCACGTCGTTGACTCAGCAACACCTTTTGCTCTTCTCTCGCCTGCTTGACCGCTTTCTGGTAATGACGGCCGAAATCTACTGCCTGTCGATTGCTCCTAGTTGCGTTTCGTCGTAACTTCTCGCCAGTTTCTCCTTGTGGCTTCAGTGCTTTACTCTGGGCGACTGCTGCAGCTTGACTCGCCATCTGGGCCACAATATCCATCGGATGCTCATCGTCCGTTCTCGCACCCATTGCCACTTCATCGTCGCCACTATCAGCAACAAGAACTTTCTCTCCATACTCCAGCAAGCACCGCTGAATCAGTGCATCTTCTGACTCGCTACTCTCTCCTTCGACTTCGACATATCGCCATCGTCTCGTTGGTGCATACGCATCGAGTAGCAGTTCCACGTCGTTGTTTACCCGCGCGGCATGTATCTTTTTCGTTTGTAGATCTACCACCTCTAGATACGCTTTCTCCCGCCGTATCTTGTCACGGTGGTAAGCAAATTGCCCCTCGTCGATCAGCCACAAGACAAGTTTCTGCACTGTGTCAATGTCGCCGTGGTCCTGCAGCAGCAACTGATGCGGCTGAATGACAACGGGACAGGCGCAGTCAAGAGCTTCTACGCAGCGCACGATTTCCTGCGCGAGCCCGAGACGAGGCTTCATCTTGTCGTGCGGCTGGAACAGAACGTCCCATTGCACCCGTCCCGCTTCGGCATCTTCTCGACGCACGATTTGATGCAGTAGCCACGCAATGCCGCTCATGACGCGGTCAAAGGCGCTGTAGGCGTTCACGTGAGCCTTGGGGAACCCCACCGTCTCGAGCGATTGTAACGTCAATGACAACGTGTCTGCAGCTTCAGTGCCGTACGCTTTTGCCAAGTCATAAACGTCTGCGGTCGACTGCAACGAGACAGAGGCGGCGGCACAGGACGAAGAAGCAGACGACGCAGTGAACATAATGATCGCAAGAGATCTATTGAACGACAAGTAATCGGACCACGTGCAGATTTGTGGACGCGGTGGAGTGTCTCATGGTGTGGTGTACACAAAACAGGACCGTTTGTTTCTCACGTCTTTTCTGTCGGCAATGGCCGCCAAAGAGTCGTCGACTGCACTGTTGTCTTGGACTCAGTATGGCGCGTTCTGTGCCCATTCAGCGCAGTACTTGATGCGCCACAAATGAGACATTTGCTGAACCGTTCACGAAACCAGCTGTCAATGCAATCTCCACGGTCGCTTGCTCGATGTAGCCATGTTCGCTCGCGGTCGCCATTTCCACCAATCGCACGCGAGAAGGAGTCAGCAGCTTCCAGATCCAGTCGAGTCGACCTGCCATGTCGGACGCGGCCTCTTCCGTGACGCGCATGCGCGCCGTCCTGCGCCACATCGCAGCCGGTGGCAGTCCGTCGTCGGCTCCGTCGCCGTCGTCTCAGCTGTCGCTGCTCGTGCCGAGTCCCGCGACGCGCTGGAACGGCTGGGGCTTCCAGGACACGAAGCTGTTTGTGAACGCCGACAAAGTGATTGAACTCTCGGGCACGCGCTACGCCGAAGTGTTCGCCAATGCACCGGACCGGACGCTGCCGTCGCTGCTACCGTGGGCCGAGAAGCACCTCGGACTGGACGCGGACCGCGGCAGTCCGTCTCGAGTGTCGTGCGCCGAAGAGCTGGAGCTGCGCAATGAATTGGAAGAGGACGGCGAGGCGCAGAAGAAGCTGCTGCAGCTGTTGCGTTTGGTGCGTGAAGAGATGAAGATGAAGGTCAGTGTGTTCGTAGAAGAGCGCGTGCGACACGGACATGGTCAGACGTGCGAAGACGTGTTTCGTCTTCGGTACGTACAGACTGTGGAGCGTGTGCCTGATGCCGTGGTGTGGCCCACGTCTCATGAACAAGTCGAGGCGCTGATCCAGGAGGTGACACAGCATTTCGCAGATTACGTGTGTTTGGTCCCGTTCGGAGGAGGGACGAACGTGACCAACGCACTGGAGTGCGACTCGAAAGAGCGACGCGCTATCGTGTCGCTGGATATGAGCGACATGCGGCGTCTATTGAGTGTAGACAGTGACAACATGCTAGCAGTTGTCGAAGCAGGGATCACAGGGCTGGACTTACACGAGCGCTTGCGTCATCGTGGGCTTACGCTTGGACATGAGCCAGACTCGTGGGAGTTCTCGACGCTCGGAGGATGGATTGCAACACGCGCTTCCGGTATGAAGAAGAACATGTATGGCAACATCGAAGACTTGGTCGTGAATATCACGACGGTGACGCCGCAGGGCACGATGCAGCGAGCTGCAAACGTACCGCGTGCTGCTATGGGTCCAGATATGAACCACGCCATGATGGGATCGGAAGGCATCTTTGGCGTCCACACTCAGGTGACCCTGCGTCTCCGTAAGTTTCCGAGCGTGCAGGTCTATGACTCGCTCATTTTTCCAAGTCTTGAACACGGCCTCGCAGCGCTGATGGAGATCACTCGTGCTGGGTGCGAGCCGGCGTCGCTGCGCCTACTCGACAACACACAGTTCCAGCTGGGACAAGCGCTCAAGACGTCATCTACAACAAACAAGTTCACCGCTGGTGTCCTGGACTTTGCAAGAAAGACGTACGTGACGAGGGTTTGTGGATTTGATGTGAACGAGATGTGTGCTGCAACTGTATTGCTGGAAGGATCTGACCAGGGAAAAGTGGCAGAGCAGCAGAAGCGCATCCAGACCATTGCGAAGCGTCACGAAGGTATGGTTGGCGGTGAAGAGAATGGCAAGCGCGGCTACTTCTTCACATACATAATTGCATACCTCCGTGACTTCGCACTGGATTATTACTTTATGAGTGAGTCGTTCGAGACGGCAGTTTCTTGGACGAACGCGCGTCAGCTCATTACCGACATCAAGGTGGCTATCAACTCGGTAGCTGCTAGTCGTAACGTGCAGGTTCCGCCGCTCATTGCCTGTCGTATCTCGCAAGTCTATGGAACGGGCGTCTGCGTGTACGTGTACTACGGAATCAACTACTTTGGCGTCAATGAGCCAATGACTCTATTTCGCGAAACGGAGCTGGCTGCTGTGGAGGCGATCTTGCGCAACGGCGGCGCTCTGTCGCATCATCACGGCGTTGGCAAGCATCGTCTTGCATGGTTGCCACAAGCAGTGTCGCCTGCCGCTATTTCAGCCATCCGGGGGATCAAGAACGCATTGGATCCCACTAACGTCTTTGCAGTCACGAATTTGCAGCCGTCAAAGCAGTACGTTGAGGGTGCGCGCGAGGACTAGATATCTCGAGTCGTCAAGTCTGCTGTACATGGAATAGTCGAAGGGAGGTCGTATAGAAACAATGAACACGTAGAGAAGAAGGTGCTTGTATCTGAGCGTGTACTTGTGGGCGTGAAGCAGAACTCATTGCTATCTGTTGCGACAAACATGTTGCAAATGATGGCAACAACTGCATGGACGAAGTTGTAAGAGCATATGACCTCATACGCCTCCTCTTACTAGCGAGACAAAGCCTTTGATAACGATAGGAATCGGTACAAGAAGAGGTCAATGAAGACAGACTCAATACGATAACGACGTCAAAACTGCCGGTATGGCAATTCAAAGCAAGCTACGCATCCGTACAACTTTTTAGGATAACGGTTGCATATAGCTCCACGATTCTACGAAGCAAAAACAAAGAGGCACAGTAAATTCTTCCAGCGGCTTTGGTTTGCCATCATCGAAACACATGAAACTAGCCATACCAAAAACTCTTGTCAGCTTTGGTCTCAGCAGGACATGGCAGCTCGGCGATGTCGTCACTTGATGAGTATTTAGAATACAAGGCTTTGCGGACAAAGGACTTCGCTGCCAAAGCTGATGCCAGACGTGTCATTCTCATTATTTTTTCGCAGCAATTAGCCCGCAGAGTCAGAGAAGATGGAAAAGCCGACGGTGCGCAGAATGACTACGTGAGATATATGATGATCTCCTGAGAGATAATTGTAATGTTGGTGCTCTTGCGCTAAACGACAAGAGTCGATGGAACCAACTAGTACATATACCACGCGCCATATGACAAGTCCTTTGTCAAAATGGTCGACGGAAAATCCGTTGATCAAGCCACGACAAACGGATGGAAGATTCGCGGCGAAAGCACTGACGTAGAAGCAAATTTCAGATTTTCGTCTTGGTATCGTCGCTCACAGTGCGTCAAGAGCGCTAAATGATACATTTAATATAGCACATGTACGGAACTGAAGCTCGTTCATTTGTAGCCGCAGACGCATGTATTTGAGGGCAACATTACGCAAGGTGAATGCATTTCTTGCCATTCTGATCGAGAAGATGACAAGATAGTCGGTTGATAGTATCATTGAAGATGGAAGTGAAGCTAGTTTGCTCGTGCAGCAAACGTAAAGTATGGCGAGAGTGAGAGGTTTCTATCCTTCATGCAACAAACTAGTCCCATCTCGTCGAATAAGGAAACCTGCAAACTTTAGCTTCGATAGTTGCATAAGCCTCTCTGCTGTGTATCACTCACGGCATCCTAATTGATGCTGCAATGACACAAAGCAGATAGTAGGAGACGGAGATGATCAGCTGACTAGGAAGTCTTCTCGCTATGTCCAAATCTACCACGCACGCTGCCTTGGTCCACCTATTTCCTGGTGAAATGGGAGCGTGGTCGCAAAAGGATAGATATCAAGTGCTCCTCGGCAAAGTCCTGTACAAAGCAGACCGTCACAACGCCTCGATGAAGCCGACTTGCCATATCGTCCCCACACACAATGCTGCGAATTGTCTTCCTCGCACACAAGTCAACCTAGGTCAAGTGCGACTTGAGCACCCCAATGTGAACAAGCACAGCAGGCTTTGCATGATATCCATTGACAACTCGTGATACTCGACTTTTTCCGCAATTTTACGAAGAGCAGCGACGGCAGATCGACTCGCCACGTTCTCTCGAAAATTGTTAGACCACTCAGCCAGACCATGTCGCGGCAAACGAAGCGGCTAGAAACGTCCAGCTCTCCATTTGTTTGGCAATGATTAGTCCAGTCATTCGCTCATACTTCTTCGACTAGATAGCAACAAAAGATGGCGCATTCAGCCGCTTTGCACGAGAGTGACTCGGTCCATCCAGAGAGCTGCGTCAATGACCTGACAATTGCACTTTACCTGTATTATCTTCTCAACGACCTTCCTCGTCAATGCAAACATGAACTTGGCACTTCAATTGAGCTTTGGGTCCCTCTTTACTTTACAGGTCAGCGCAGCAATGTTGAGGTCTGACTTCACGAGCTGTTAGCAGCTCACAGTCTATACAACGCCATTGTGCCAACATGCCCTCACTCGTCAAGTTGGAATCTGTACGACCTTTGTGTGTCGTACCCACTCGACGTACAAGCTGCTTAGCGTCAAAAATAGCCTATCATGTCGCACACCATTGACCCCATTTCCTCTTTACCGAGTCAATCGTTGGAATCAATGCCCATTTGAGCTCTCTTGCGAAGAAGTAGACCTTTGTGCATGTGATTAAACCAACGAACACATGATGTGTCAAGGAACCGTTTGCAGAGTCACTTACGCTTGTCATCTTCGATTCCCAATTTGATGCTGGGTGTCATGCAACACTGGTTGATCGATCCCCGCTTCGTTGCAATGTCCATTCATTGTGGCACTGCCTGTGCAAGTCTAGCAGCTACAAATGTAAGGTTGACACCAAGTCTCTGTTTAATTTGGTCGCGTTCGTGAATGTGCGACGACAGCGTGGTCGTTTCGTCAAGCTCGTCGATTACGGCACGATCTTGTACTTCTTGTTTATCGTGATAGCGGTGTAGCTGCTTTAGTGGCAACATCCATAAGTTGGGAAACGCTCTTCGAAATTATCCTGCTTGTCGAGATCAAAACAGTCGCACGCTCGCATATAGAATTGTTGCAAGAACGCGATGTCACAACGCGACTATCTTCTAGTCAACCATCGACCGATTGTGTCGCCCCTCATGGGCTGAGCACGAAGCCAAGCAGCTGTGTTGGTGTCGTATCTCCGCACATGTGAAGCAGCAAACGTCAACGTTTTTTATATTCTGGTAGTCCTGTTATCGTCTGACACCAACGCATCTTCCTGACAGCAAGCAGATGTCTGCTACCGTATAGCTGTCGCAAAAACGCTCTGACAAGAAGTTGCGAGTATGCCTCTTTGCGCATAAGGCGGAGTCAGTGGTGGTTTGAGTCTTGGTCATCAGGACGCACTATGACGAGCGAACCTGATTGCGAGAGACGGTCGACATGGTTTGTAGGGTGGTTAGTTGAATCACTCTGGGCCGACCAGCAAGAACCGATGCGCGCTGCGGCAGGAATAAAGCAAACGCACAGTATTGGTCTTGACCAACGTACAACTGCAACTATCACGGAAGAGCGTCAAGCAGAATGTGTTGCACCCTCCCATTATTGTGTCGCAGTCAAACAAACAATCAAAGTTGATTGTCTTCTCAGCGAGCCTCATAATGGCTTCTGGAAACGTAAACGAGGTATGGTCAAATGAACGGTACGCACCTGCGAAGGTGAGAGATGGTAATCGTTGAAGACGTGGCTGGATCACAGGAATACCGCTTCTGTCGCGATTTGTTCGCCAGCATCTCAACTCGCGACCGTGGCCCACGATTACGTTTGCAAATGCTGATCAATCAGGGCGAGGAATTCACCCACAACAATTTGTTGTGCAGTAAAGCGGCAGTAGAAAGAGCTTTGTTGGTCATTTTACAGGACTCGGCCCACATTTTCATTGGAGCAAAGAAGACAATGTTTGTTTTGTGCTAAACAGTCTGCTGACATCAACGACATGAATTGACAGTCTGGATATGTAAAGAGCGTAAAGCAATCTGACGACAGCGGCAAACGTCACGATATCCAGATTAAAGACTCGGATGAGCAGCTCCGATGGAAATGATGCATTTGCACTCAACATCATCAGTGGACGTGGTATCACGATAGATGATATCGATACGCTAAAGCTTCTTCGTGCAACATGGATGTCGGAAAACTGCCTCGTTGTTTGAGCCGTGATGTCGCACAAGTACAAAGCGACAGAACCGACCTAACTACACGTGTAAAAATGTGTAAACATCTATAAGCCCTAACAATCATTAAGTGTTTCTCAGGTTGTCCCCACATTGCTGCGCTCGCTATAAAAGCAAGTTAGGACAAGTTACAGCCGGCGCGTCTGCCTTCGTCTACTACTGGCATAGCGTAACGAAGTGGGCATACTTCTCCTTAGCAGGAGACATTTCACTTTCGATTAAGGAAGCAACACGACAAGCTTCGCTGGCGTCGAGTCCAGCGTCGTCATTCAGTCGGCCACTCCAACCAGTTACAAAATGCGTCGAATCGGCAGCCGCTTCATAGAGACGCGTAAAGTCGATTGCGCATCACGTGAATCGATAGAACGAGTGAGCATAAGTTGCTGTTCTTGGCTGAAGCCGTGCGCGACGACACGACCCAGTGCTCAACTCCTCGAGACAATTATTATGGTGCGCTCAACACTCAGTCCCGATGACATTTTTCGGCGGTACCAAGTACTCGGGCAAGGGATTCGCCGGGACTTGCAACAGCAATTTAGTATTCACATTCCCAACTCCAGCTCAGCGAGGAAAATTTGTGCCCGATGTTGTTTGTCGCACAAGTGATGTATATGTGATCTTGCTATCTTCAACAGATCGGTAGTTCACTTTGACGTGCTGCCTGTGCAATCGTGCGTGCTTTCTCACTGGCAGCTTGTGTACACGTGTATGCCTGTGTGTAGTGTCGTTCCGCTATTAGTCGCTCTCATGGCTGCCACTTTCGTTTTCCCGAAATCGGTTGGTAGCCATGTGATGTAGCGGAAGACGGGCGTGAGGGCAGCACGCACAACAACGCCATGAGCGTAACCACTTCAAGCGGAAATTTCAATACTTCAGTCTCCACAATCCAGCGAAGTACACGATAATCGACGTGTGTCATTCTGCCCGCTGCTGGACCCAACAGGAAAAAGAACGCCGGGTTGGCCTGAACCACGTCATCCAGCGTCACGTGTCTATCCATATCCGGGTGCAATGTCTTCGCTACATTCAATTTTGGTGACTTATCCGAAGGCAATGTACATTGCGACGCTGCAAGTAGCAGCAATGGCACCGTTTGCATGAGGCAAAACAACGCGGCGGTGAACGCAATACGCCGAATGTTTCGCTTGCGATGCCTCGCGTCTTCAGCTACTTTGTCCAGTAGCACACACATTTTCTCGCCATACGTCGGTAGCAATATGACACAGGCAATCCAGCAACACACTAGCAAGACCGTGGCGGTGGCCAACAGACTGCGTCGAGTCCGGTTTCTCGGCTCTCGTCGAGCAACTAGCAACGTGCCTATTTGCAGCAAATACACAGCGAGCATTATCCTCATGAAGAGAAGTCTGGGCGGTGGAAGCGGCTTCAACAACGGCTCGGGAGCCGCAGACGCGCCACTGTCTCTCCTCTCTTTGACATCAGGGGCTCCTCGAGTATGAAGATTCTGCAGCAGAGCGTCCGTTGCCCGACACTGCTTCCGGGAGCTATGAGTAGAGCTCTTCCCTTGCACTTTGTCCACCATCGATGCCCACGTGTTCAGGACCAGCAAGAAGACGCCGGCCAGCACTAGTGATGCCGTGGCGCCCAGGACCTGCCACAGGAACATTAGGCGAAGATATGACAGATGCACTTGAGATGCATCTCGATCCAGCGATCCAGAGGCCTGCAACTGACACAGAGCAAACATCCACACAGCCACGAGGATAAAGGCCGCCGCTCGAAGCGAAGCTCCAAGAGCCAGTAACCCATAGAGACGCACGGCCGTGGGGTCTTGACGCCAGCTCCGCGTGAAGCGACGCAGACCCAAGAGACCAGGTACGAGGAACGCAGCTCCGCATGCGTATACAACAGCGTAGATGAGGTATACAGAGGAGGACGAGACAGAATCGTTTCCCATCCGAGTCGAACGGAATGGACTCGTGGTCGGCGATGTAGGGGAAGCGGTCGTCACGTACGACGAGATGTGCACTACGGATCTTTATTCGAGTTAGCGTGCGGTATAGAAAAGCTGCTTTTTGGACGGTGGCGTAGTTTACGAGCAGGAAGCGATACAAAAGGTGGAATTTGACAGTTTATTGATCTCAGTCTGTCACTACTTGTCGAACATGCACGGTCCATGCAGTAGCACGGCATCGACGTGAACAGGTCGCGCGCGTACCGAGTTGCATGACGCTGCTCGACATTGATATCAGACACATTGTCAGTGTCGGCAATATGTTTGACGATAAAATGAACTCGCAGTGCATTTGATGGTATAATTGAGAGAGCCCCATCTTAGATGGTGAGATTGAGGGAACATTTGTTCGGAGGGAATATTCGGTCACAAGTGATGACTACGCCCTGCCAATTATCGGATACGCCGTATCAGCTAATAATGTTACCCACCATGGACAAGTGCGTGCAAATGGAGATAGTCATCATCACATTTGCTGTCAAACATGTGACGTAACACTGATTATTCGACTTATATAAAAATATTTAAGATAAGTCTTCGGAAGACCATCTTCGTTTCGGTTTTTACGACTTTGATTTGAAGCTGCAGTATTGGTTTCGTTTTTTAGCCAGCTGGTGTTTAGTAAAAATTAGACGCAAACGAGTTGGATTATTATAACAAAAATATCAAGATTATTCGATGCATCTACTATCACACGACTCCTTAACACCCGTTTTTTCTGGTCGATGCTCCTGTGCGCCGAGCACATTGAGTCGGTGTTTGTGTTGCTTGAGGCCAGCCGGCTGCTATTACATTATTTTTCGTGGTCTTGTGTCCCCGGCTACGATTCTGTCGGACTCGAGGCGACCAATATTAACGCAAGCTGAGGAGCTGTTTATTTGTCACTATGGAATGCATTGAACCTCAAGCGATCGCTTTTACCAGCTTACATGCGATCAAATTGCACGATGCACCGACAATGTCACGCAGACACTTAGATTGTATATGAGCGCCAGCGACTCCGTATTATATGAACTTACTGAATGTAAATGTAAACGTAACGACAAGAGCGTCAATCGGATGCCACGTCCCGATCGATTGCGTGTTCGGCGAAGAGATAATGATCCCTTCTAAACGTGTTCGACGAAGACACGAACGTCAATTTTGCTTTGTACGTCGAAGTCGCAGGCTAGACAAACAGGCTTTCCTTACCGTATTTGGTCAGTCGAAACCACACGGTCGTCTCGCCGGTGACTTAAACCCATACTTTGTTGTTATTGACGTATGTTGAAGCAGTCGATTGCCGACTTGAATATTCGTTCGTATATAGTCTCCTGGCTGCGCCACCCAAAATAAAGAAAAGTTCATCCTTAGTTATACTTCTGGTTGAAGTGTTGACTGCCTATAAATGTGGTAAATGAAGATAGCGTGATTATTCGCCGGTGTATCAACCCGTAGCAACCATTCCCTTCCATGTAGAGCAATATTTCGCGCCATTGGTTGACATCCTGGTCGATGACTGCTTGTATGAGGCGGATAATAGTCAACTTGATCTTATAGCGAGGTAACATGGTCGATGGCCTATTGTCCATCGCAACATTGGCCGCTACGGAGGCCATATTATTGTGCTCGCAGTCATTATAGACCCAGCTGACGACACCTATGTCATCAGCTAGTGCTCACGTCTCAGATAAAGTGTTAAGAGGAGGGTTTTGAGGGCCAGCGATGCATCAAAAGCTAAGCTCACTCCATTCCATTTGTACCGACGGTGTGAAGTAGCACATAGCTTTCAATCTCCGCATGTCGAAGGCCGTGGAGAGACCCATGTATGATGGAAGTGTGATTTTGGTATTCGTCGCGGTCAAATCCACGCATGCAGCACAAAGAAGCGCTGCCGCATGCATTTATGCGTGACATATGATGAACCAGACCCAGGGCCGCCCGACCCCTGATTAGCTCGATCTTCTAACGCAAAGAAGAGCGAATAAGAGTTATAACTTTTCATCGCAGAAGCAGCTTGCAGAGGTGAAGGCTTGAGGTGCTGCAACAGGCATCCACCAGTTCGTGTATGACGATCTCATTAGCCCGTGCACCTTCCCAGAGACCAGTTGGAACGTCGAGCTATGGAACGCGCAAGGACCCGTCGCAATAAAGTCTGGGCAAGTCTTGGTGTATTTCTGTTAGGATGGGGGTATATTGAGAAGTGTTTAGCGAAGCTGTATAATGTACGGGCTAAATAAAGATAAGTGCTTGTCCACTCAAAAACATTCGCGTTGTCTCACCTCATGTCATTGCTACCTAATGCTTTTCTTCTGAGTTATACGTGGTGGTTAAGGTCGCGTATGTCCCTTGGTAGCACTACCTAAATTATGTAAGGAGTGACGTGTTCTTCAGATTCCTGTCTCTCGATTAAAATATGCGAATAATTAAATATATTCTGAATTGACGATGTTTCAAACCATCTATTTTACTTATGGTCCTTACACATTCGTCTGGCAAGGTAGGTTCTGTTATTCAATAAATTCGTTCTGTCCACATGATATATGCAGTAGTTTTGACTAAGAAGCGGGTTTCCTCCTTTGCTGCTGCAAACCAGCCTGCTTACAGAAGTAAGTTTCTTGACTTTTCGCCCTCCAAAATTTATTTGGACAATTACTACTTTCGAAAATAACGACACACACATGGCGATTCAGTCCGTTAATGCCGCTGGGATGATACCATAGCGAAAAAAGAGTCGTCTAATGTCGTCGCGCTACAGGACTTGTCCAATAGACATGACGAACAGGCGCGTAGGTTTCGGAGGGGAATTAAAGAGGAGGGCAAGATTGGTGACCCGCGTACTAGATCCAGCGATTTGAAAATTTGCAATCAAGACGGTACGCCGTTCGCGTGACTATAATGAAAGTGGTCACAATACGGCGTATCTCCGTCAACTGGATGATTTCGGTGCCCTATGTATCCACTGCTCGACCAGGATCATACATTTGTTTACCCACTTTTCTTTCTCTTTCGCGGTAATTTCTTTGCGAAGAAATCCTACCAGGACACGTCGAAGGGGTCGTAACCGCGTCTGGTAGCCGAAGTCTGCACCATACCGGTCTGAGACGGATGCACTGTGAAGAGCACTGGGAATCCTCAATAGCGAGTGGATGATTGATCACAAGCCGTCACGGATCGCGCCCGCATATTATCACGCGGTTGGGTGCGTTGTAATGGCAAATCTCGATACCGGGGCAATTTAATGAGCACTGGAGACTAGATGAACATTGGCCTAAACTAAATACATAGCGCCAACCATGATTGATCAATGAAGAACGTTCGGGGAAGATGAACAGTATGGTTAGGCAGAATCGTTTGAAATGTATTCGTTTTCCGCGATCGTCGTAAAGATTTTAACCGTATGTGTATATCTCATCTCTCCACATTCATCACAAGACCAGGTAGAGTGCTTTTCTTGCGACAACAGACTCCAAGCGTCTTTTGTCGCAAGAAAAGCCGGTTCTGTTTATGTGATTAAACTGTCTATGTCCGCCGATGTACCACGACATGTTGTCTATAGGTGCGTTCTTTAGACATAATATGAGCAGTACACATGAACGAAGGTATCCAAAACGAGTTCGTTGTGAAATCTATAATGCATGGACACTCGAGCGTGAAAGATGACACTCCTGTAATCATTATGTGTGACCGTTACTTTGACAAAGACCGGCTACGCTCAATTTCGCACAGTCGACACATTCAAGCCTTCAGCTTGTTCAGCAGCGCAAACATCCACAGCATTTGCAATTGTAGCGGCTCATTCGTCAACTTTCTATGCAGAAAGCTGAATCAGTAAAGTAGGGATGCACGAAACGTACATACCATCACCATGAATCTACAGCATCTTGTGCTCTTCAAGAGAACTTGCGGCGCGATCTTCGTCCATGTGATTTGCTCCTACAAAATGAATACTGAAAATTTTGTATCAATAACATATGACGAGATAGACGCGCGGCGCAATAAATCTGAGGTATGGCATCCAAAAGCTTGTCGTGAAGAGACCGTTTTCCTACTTGTAAGTCTTATTTTGGGCTAAAGCGAGAAGGGACCAACTAGGGGCAGCGGTCACACTTTTATATCGTCGTGTCGTCTTGTCCCACCTGGACTCTGGAATTCTTGTACTGCTTTGTTGGAATTATCCAAATGAATGGACGTGCTACTCGACGTCTTGGTCCGAATATTATGGACCAAGAACCGAGACGGTATATTCGGATCGTTTGATTGTAAGGCCAAAAACGCGAGCATAAATTGTAAATATGCAAGTACCTTAAGAATACAACCTTGCTATAAAGTGGTATTTGATTGATGCGACTTGCAAAGCATCATTCAGTATACATAATGTTTACATCATTGTAGTTTTAGTGCGTCCAGCTTAAGCGGGACTGGCGCACAATTAATCTTCAACGCACCAAATAAGTTCAGATTTGCTATCACCCGATATGCCAATACCGATCTCGTCGAAGGGAATGACGTCAACCATGGGCGAGACATTGTGCCTGCCTCTGCCCATTGCAGGCATTTAATCGACCCCTAAACATCTCAGAACGAGCAGTCTGCGAAAGTGTAGACGTGTTATTATAAAGCGGTTTTGGCAGAATATCTGCTAAGAACGCTTTAAATCTAATATAAGTTACCTAAACTATTGAATTATAACCGTCTTCTCCTGTTACTTTACCTGTGCGATATGACGTCTTTTGAGCGCCTTTCACGCAATTCCCATTGAACTCGGCGTTCCGAAGACGAGCTGCATAAACGGAAGCCTGAACGTCTTATATAACCTAGTGCTGTGCCTTCTCAATTGTTTCTTTATATTTCTTGTGAGCATGCCGCGGGATCTGCATCGTAGGCGCAATTGTATTGCGAAGAGATTTGTAACACGCTTTATCTACAAGCTGTGCTTTATGCAGATCCGGGGTCTCGGCCGG